AAAAAAAAAAAAAAAAAAAACCTGCCACAATCCCCAAAATTCCAGGGGGCAAGAATACCATGACCTCAGCACTTCAGGTAGGAACACAGTTTCTTTCTCTCTGGAAGCATCCAAGTCCTCCTATGTGACTTCTGGGTTGAGCTAAGGGTCCAGGCAGAGTTCCTTGCAAACAGGTTCACTCTTGGGGTCCCTTGTGGCATCCTGTATGCATGCCCCCTTCCCCATGTACTCTTCACAGGCTACTCCGTTCTGCTGTTGTCCTGGGACCAGGCTTTGGATCTCCTTAACAGTGTTCTGATTTGTTCTAAGACCTTAAGATCTCTCCCAGCCTCTCCCTAATTGGTTCAGAGCCTCTCTAGGGGAGCCTGCCCCGGCCTTAGAGGTACAGGGGCAAAGGAGTTGTTCAACCAGCTCTTAAGCGTTTCTAGCTTAGACCTCAGTGTGTGAATAAGCCCCTCTGACCGCTTTCCCCACCCAGCATGAGGCTTGCCTGGCTGCACTAGCTTCCTCTTCTTTCAGCTGGGCCAGAAGTTCAAGGGTGTGAATGAGGGCATAGCCAAGCCCCAAACCAGAGCTGGGACATCGCTGGCACCTGCATGGCCATGAGCTGGGCCCCTAGAGCTCCAGAATCGGCCTGGGCACCTCGGCTGACTGGCAGTAGTTAAGTAGGCCGGAGTCCTCCACACTTTGCCAGCTCCTGGCCTAGCTTGTGAGTGCACTGTCGCTATTTAAAGATTTCTCCTCTACCCGCTGCCCCTGGTGCTTATTCTGAAACCCGTGATTGGTTACTTCTGCTTCGCAATCGCGTACGCTGTCCATGCAGGAGCCGCACAGAAAACCCTCCACACCCCACCTCCAGGCCCTAGACTGAGCTTTTGTCGGCGTGGCTTCTGCCAGTCCCCAGCACCCTGGGTGCACTGCCCAGTCCCTGCCTTATGCATGCTGAGACAGCGTCACCTGCCTCCGCTGGTGCGTCCGGTGGGGGGCGGGGGGGAGGGCAAATTGCTGTGGTTCTCTCCACGCCATTTCCATGTGCCTGCTCCCTAACTTCAGCCTGGCCCTGCCCCCACTTCTCACGGAGGAGCTGGAGTCCAGGCAAGTAGGCTGGAGAGCGAGTGGGCAGTGGTCTGGTGTCGCTGGGTGGGCTGAGGGAGGGTGTCCGAACTGGAGGGTGCAGGGTTCAACTCCCACGTGGGGCGCCGTGGCGGGAACGCGGAGCGGGACACCGCACCCCAGCCGTGACCTTCCCACGGACTTCGTCTGTGAAGTGGGATAGTCGTTTGCCAAAGACCCTGTGGTTCTGGAAAGGAGAGGCTAACCCATACCTTTTCAGAAATTAATACGGCCTGCTTTTGCGAAAGGTGTTGAATTCTCAGAAAGAAAAGCATGCCGAATACAAAGAACTGTCCCATCTGGGAGGCGGGAGGGGGCGGTGTCTGCTCTCCGTTCACGTTCACGGTGGAGGAAGCGAGCACACACAGCTAGAGCAGACTGCCCAGAGCCCAGGCTGAAAATCGTGCTGCCCCGTTTCAGTGCCTCGAGGCCAGACCTGTATGTGCAAAACACAGGGACTATTAAGTGGCCTCAGATTTAAAAGGAGTCCAGGCTGTTTCGTCGCAGCCTGGCCTGGTTTGGGCTCTGCCGTGGCACGGACTGCCACGGACAAAGTGATCCTTCTGCCTGATGTCACTTCTGATGGCTGCAGAAGGGCCCGTTGGCGCTGGCTTTAGGGAGCGGTGTGTGCTTTTGCATTCCTGGGGTTTGAAAACACTGGAAATGTTCTGACTCTGCATTTGCAAAGCTAAAATTCTTACTTAATCTGTTTGAGGAGCACTCAGACTCAGGAGCGTTTTCTCCTGGCGCTTACTGCCTGAGGGAAACATTAGATTCAAGGGCCTTTTATGTATTGATGGCACTCCACCAGGGGAACTGGATTACCTGCAAAAAGAAGCTTCCAACATTCCCCCCCCCCCCACCTCACTTCTGCAGGAGGGGACTCCTCTTTTGTCCCCAGTCCTCATTCTATGATGTCAGAATGGGAATCTAGGGATTCTCTTCAGTGAGCCTTTGACACATGGCCCCCAGCGCTGACTGCCATGTTCACCAGGATGTGGGATCCTGGATTGCCTGAGCCTCTGGGGGCCCCCTCGGGTGAGAGTTGGAGGAAGTGAGGTCCAGGTGGAAGCGAATTCGCTACAATTGCATAGGGTGTAACCGCCAGACTGGAGCATTCCAGCTCCCGGTCCAGTGCTCCCAAGTGGCCCGTTGTCCTGGGATGCGAGTCCTCGAGTCCCTGGTGTGTGTGCAGGGAGCCCGCTGTAGATGCCGATTAGCAGCATCTAGACTTCTCTGCTTTTTCTGTTCATATGCATTGAAAACTTTATCCCACCTTTCTGCCTCATGTTTGTTTCAGTCCAAAGGAAATAGAAAATGGGATAATTAACCCACCTGCACCGTAGATGCCTTTCAACGATACTCTTGATTGGAGTACGTTACCTTACTCACAGATGGGAGGTTAAGCTTGGCCCTTTCTCAGGAGGCACTTCTGGAGCCTTCCCACAGCAGTTGTTCTGTTTCTGAGAATCAGCAAGATTTGGGGGACTCTCAGGGGAAATACCTCCATGTCTCAGTTTCCAAAGAAAATAAAGGCTTAACAGCCACCCCACCACCTGATACTCCGCTTCAAATATTATTGCCACTTCTTTCCCTGTTCTCCTTGCTCTCTAGATCCTTCCTTAGTTTCCATGAGGCAGCAGATGAGGCTGATTTCTAAACCAAACTGTCACGTCCGTCCTCAGCAGCACCTTATGGAGGACAGATTTACTTTAGACTCCTTACACATCCGCCCCCTGGGGCAAGACAGGCCCAGCCTCGGGAGCCACTAATGGAAAGTGGCAACTAATCTCATTAGTGGCTCCCACATAACCGACTGCAAGGTCAGGTCCTCAAATCTGCCCGGAAGGAAGCAGCTGCTGAATCCAAGAGCGGGAGTCTCCAAGCTCAGCGGCTGGAAGGGGCAGACGCTGGGCTCGGCAGGTCGCTGGGTCCGGTTGGACGGACCACGGAGCCAATATGGTCCTTTGCTCTCCGACAAAATGTGCAACCCTTTGGAGCAAACTGCTCTTCGGAAAAAGCCCGAGCCGTTACTGTCTGAGCAAGAGTCGGCTGGCTCTTCCGACCCCTCTCCTGCCCCCACCTGACTCGCCCCAGTCAGCCTGCCTCAGTGTCTCCACCTTATCCACGTCGTATTTCCTGGTCCAGGAAAACCCTCTTTCCCACAAGTGGCCTTGGTGTGGGCCAAAATTCACGAGCTCCGTTTCTTCAGGGACCTTCTGAAACCCTCCGCGGAGGCCCCTTTATCCACCACTTGGTACAGGAATCAAATGGGTGAACGTTGTTGTTGGCTTGTGACTCAGTTTCCTCGAGCTGGGCTCCTGTTACGATCATTCCACCTGTTCCCTTGGGTTTTCTCCCCATACCCGGTTACACACCGAGAGCAGACCCTCCGGGGCCCCGAGCACACTGTATGTGCCCTCACCAGCTGCTCCACCGTGTATGAGGACAGTGGATGAGGGTCCTCTCTCCCCCATAGTGGGTGGCTCTGTAAACCGTTCACCTCCACCCTGCTGGGCTTGTGGGAGGAGGCCCGGCTGTGAATCAGTCAGCAGGCGTGTGACCCCTACCAGGTATAAGGCACAGTCCAAGGTGCTGTGAGAAATGCAAAGGGGCTGGATGGTCAGGGAAAGAGGCCGGTACCCCCAGATGGGAAAGAACAGACTCTCACGACCGCCTCACTAATGAGGGGACTCTGTCGGCCTTCCGGTTTCCCAGCATGTGTGGGCACGAGGAAGGGGAGAGGAAAGCCCGAGGAGGGGTTTGCTGTGACACCGTTCTTAGCTACTGGCTCAGCGTATCAGTTTCTGTTTCCTTTCTTAAAGGACACGATGAGCGAAAGGCACCTCCGTCCATGTGGCGGTCACGTGTTAGTTGTCAAACCTGATGGGGGCGCAGGGGCTGGGGCTCCGCATTTCCCTTCCTCTTGTGCTTGGTGCTGGGCCCTGAGTGGTATCTGAGTGACAAGCCACAGCCCTCCCTCGGGAGATGCAAAGAGGCGCACGGGGCCAGTGACCCAGCTTCTTTGGGCTGCTGCTCCGAATGACAAGCCCAGGTGCCCATGTGTCCCCGGAAGGGCTTCTTCCTCGTGAATGGAACATGGCAGGTGTCTCTGGTCCCAGCCGTTCCCCCGGTGACTCTCGTTTGCATTCATCTCTCTCTCTCTCCTCTCTGTCCTGTCTTCTCCGCCTCTTCTCTCCCTCCCGTCTGCAGGTTCACTTGCTGAAGGACCAGCTGGCTGCCGAGGCCGCCGCGCGGCTGGAGGCCCAGGCCCGAGTGCACCAGCTCCTGCTGCAGAACAAGGACATGCTCCAGCACATCTCCCTGCTGGTCAAGCAGGTGCAGGAGCTGGAGCTGAAGCTATCGGGACAGAGTGCGAGTAAGTGAGGGCCCCGCCCAGCCTCCCCGCCCTCCACGGAGGCTCTGGAAAACCCACAGGCTTTTCTCTGAAGCTCTTGGTGGTGTTTGATTAGACCCCTGACCCGCCCCGGCGTTCCAGCAGGAAACATAAGGCAGCTCTGTCTGTCCTGTCCACACGCTTTGCGGAATTGCAAAATGGCAGGGCTAGCGAGGGTCTGGGCCCCTTCTCGTCCAGCATCCAGACTTGACCTTGAATGTCCCCAGGAGTCACTGCCACGAATTCATCCAGGCTCCCCCTCCTCGAAAAGGGCTCGGACGCCCGTCCTAAGGCAGCCCACTTCAGTGTATTTCCGTTGAAATCTGCTGAGCACCTATTGTGTCCTGCTGTCTGGGGGCTCTGGGGAGGACCTCACGCCGTACGGGGCTTACGCACCCTGCACTATACATTTCACACCTCTGTAGCATAGAGCAGGCTGGTAGCCGTCGTCTACTTAGTGGATAGGGCAGGAAAGAACCGGCCAGATAGCGTTGCTGGTGAGTGACAGAGTTGCCCGGCACCCGGCCTGAGAAGTCCGGCCGCCTCCAGGCTGGACTGGGAGGTACTAGAAGGCAGCACACATCTCCGGGCCTTCCTTTTGTTTATCCGTGGCCTGTAAGCCTTCTCCAGATGTGTGTAGGCTGAGGGCCAGTGTAGATGCCCTGGTCCTCTTTTGTGCCAGAAACGATGCTAGAGTTTCAGGCACGTGATCTCCTGTAATCCTGGTAGTAGTAGATGTTGTTATGCCCATTTTATGAATGAGACAGACTCAAACAGGTTAAGGAGCTGGCTCAAGGTTACAGGACCAGCAAGGTGTGGGTCACACTGAGATTCAAAGCCAGGTGTGACTGCCAAACCAATGCTTTTCCTCTTCGCCCAGTGGTTCCCCCAGACTATCCCATAACTTCTTAAAGAATGAATATTCCCAGGTCCAACCCATGGAGATCACGATCAGAGGGTCTGGGCAGGGCTGGGGCCCTTGTTAAAGCAGCACCAAGGTCTAGATTGGGACCCACTGCACTTCACCGCCCCAGAAGTCTGGCCCTCTGGATGGGTACCTCCTTCAGGGTCGCAGGCTGGTG